TCCATTTAGGATTAGGAATAGACGGAATCGGACCTGCTTTTTCCATATCTCTCGTTATTTTTGAGACCCTATTCACCTCTTTCTTTGAGCTTCTTTTGAATCGAGAAAGAAAATAGAAGTTATGGACCATTTGTAAAAGTTGTTCTAGTAATATATAATTAATTAATTAGTAATTAAGAAAATAAAAAATTTACATAATCATGTTACAAAAAACATTTTGTACCACTTTTGACTAAAATGATAGTATAATGGAAATTTAATGATAAGACTAATGTAATACACAACCGCGCAAGTAACCAAGTATAGTGGACCATTTGTAATATTTTCTCTAAATTTAATTTTGGTCCCTTAAGTTGACCAATGTTTGAAATTAAGTACATTAATTTGTTCCTCATAAAAAATAATTCGTTAATCGTCATTTTTTATCACTTTTGATACACTAATCCCCATAGTCGAGATTAGCTGCTGACGTGACATGATATAATTTAATTGTTGCCTATGTGGCATGTGACATGGCAAGTGACGTGGTAGTACCAGTCCTCTAACTTGTCAACCTTTTTAGTTTTGGTTAATTTATTAAATTATCTCAACTCCAATTTCAGTACTTAAGGTGCAATTTTTATCAATTTTAGGTTCTATATTTTCTAATGATTTTTGTTTTCTATGAATTAGATTTTATTATCAATTATTGAGCAATAATGACAAATTATTTTTTATCTCTAAAACAAATGCATTGTGCAGGTGGTGGCGTGACAATATTCAATTTGTATCACCATTAGGACCATCCTATCCTATCCTATACAGCTATACTATCAGTTATTTTTTTTTATTTTTTTTTTATTTTATTTTATTTATTTTTATTTTTTATTTTTTTGGGACCTCTATTTATACCACTCATGTGCCCACTTTCCTCTTTACCTTTTGCAGAACCCTATTTTCATCTCTGTATGTGAATATTTATAATTTTATTTTTTTTGATAATTTAAATCATAATTGATCGTGCATTAGTATTTGCTAAAGCTGCCAGCGTGATCTAAACTTTCCTGTGGCTTCTTAGGGTTAAGGAAAGATCAGATCATGTGGTAGCTTTATCGGATGCTCATTGCACGAATAATTANTGAGGTTTGGGAAGGTATGTGAATCACAATTCTCTTATCAATCTATGTAATTTTTTTATTTTTTTTTCCTATTAAAAGTTATGAAGTTTGTTTGGGGTTGTGTTTTTTATATTTTGATCTAATTAAATTAACAATTCGAGAAAATATGAATAAAATTGTCATTTCATTAATTTATATAATTTCTTTTGTTTGATGGAAAATCTCATCGAGTTTCAAAGTTTCGTAGTTGACCTGTAAGTATGCAGTGGAATGAAATTAATTCAACCAAAATATTTGCTATTTTATTTAGGATTTGTTTATTTATTTAGTTATACATAGTTATCAATAACCTATATTTTTGCTGGTCATGATTTCATGTCTTTATAATACTATATTTTTTTCCTTTATCTCTCCATCTATACATTCAATCATTCTTGCAAAAAATATATATGCATTTTGGTAGAATTTATCCTTAATAATAGGGCTTTAATTGGTTCAAGGGCTTCTTGAAACTATAAAAATTATGTTTATACATTAGTTTTTCAGTGTTAACCAATTGATAATTGTGTGGCTGCTGATTGTTAGCATATAGCCAAATGTTTATCTGAGCTAAGAAACCCTAAATAGATTGATTTGATAAAGGCTAAACACAACAGTATATATGTCAAGCCCCTATTTTGCTTGTTTTAAGGATTTGGGCAAAGTTCAATATATAGCTGCAGACTTATCCACATCTGGTCCAAATGCTGTAATTACAGTGTAGCAGCAACCTTGCTTTGTCTTCATGTTTTGGACATATATATGTAGCTCTTCTTATTTATTTAATTTTATTTTTTTTTTCAAAATAAAAATATTGATTAAGTTGAGACACCAATGTAATAACCAAGTTGTTCCCAAATAAATAATGTAACAAAACAAGTTTTTGAATGAATATCTTGAGGCACAATTTTGTTCAGTTCATCAGGTAAGCAATGCTAATTTTTCATTTCATTTTTTATTTTTTTTTAAATTTAAAATACTTTTAGTCGATACTATATATATATGTCTTCAACAAATGCTTTACAACACTAGTAATAAAATATATTTCTGAAAGTGCAATTTAATGTTAGATAGCTTCATTTTCATGTGTGGGAAAGATCCCTCTTTCCTTGTGGACAACTTAATTATGTGTAATGTGAGTTGTTCTTGAGCTATATATATTTGGGTCCTTCTTGTCACCCTCATCAGTTTCCTAGAGTTTTGTGTTACATTTCATATCCCTCAACAAAGTAAGTCCAGCTATATGAGATTGTTACTCTTTTGCTTGCACTTTCACCTATTTAATGTATTTAATGTGCATGTGATTATTTATAATTAAGTGGATTTGGGATGATCTAACTGTTAGACTAGTATTTTTTAGTTATAATAAGTCTGCCTAACGTGAGACTGGATACTAGCTACAACTATTTACCTTTTCTTAATATTTGACTCGAATAACATTATCACGACTTACTCAAATTAAAGGTGGGATAAATTAACATGGATAAATATATCAGGATACAAAATTTTACAAATAAAAATAAAAGAGGGAAAAGATGAAATTTACAAATGAAGATGCTGAAATGTGAAAATTGCCGCAACCTGGAACCGTCCATTCTTATTCTATCCAATATTCCGGCCCAAAAACGGATTCTGGCTATGGATCCACTGGAAAGCCCAAAAAGCCTTAACCTAAACTTAAAGATTTATAAAGAAGAAAAGTGTGGACTAAAAAATAAGTCTTGGGAGTGACCCAAAGACAAATCTATTGTAAAGTGTCAAAATGATGCAATTCTTTCGTTAAATGATTATAGAGAAATTTACTCAACAAACTGATAAATAAAAACTTTTCTTTTAAATTTACAAAATTTATTTCTATTTGTACAAATGTTGATCGCCGCATGCGAAACCCAATTCGTCGCGCCACCAACCCTGACCGCCATGCGCGGCGGCATCGCGAATCGTGCTGACTACTGATACCAATTGATGTAGCTGTGGTAGACGATAAGGAATAAAAGAGAACAAGACAAGATTTCTGAATTAGCTGATCGGCTATGATGAATAGCAAATAAATATATAGAGTCCTAACAAGCTACTTATCTTGCCTAACAAGGTAGGCCAGATATTTTTTTTACTTAACAATCTAGATAATATAAACTAAAGAAATAATAATAAATAGATCAATAATAAAAAGAATAAATAATTTAAATCCAGAATCAGTCATATTTGTCTAGACACGCAATTGCGGTCTCGTTTTCATCACAAACTAAACGTAAATTTGAAGAATAAGAAGTTTGTCAATACGCCAAAAAAAAAAAAAATCTTTATGTAAAATTGAACTTTCTTTAGAATTATTATATTTATGAAATTTTTTTCAAAAATTTACCGTAGAAATATAAATTAGGCATTATTATGTCCAATGAGTTAATCATATGTTACAATTGTGTTTACCAAAATATTTACTGAACACTTGGTTGTTTATTTAGTTAATAATATGATTGTAACAAAATGGACTAGCATTGATACTCGTGCGATGCACATGTTATATTATAAAAATAATTATTTTTATATATTATTAAATTATTTTAGACAATATGAATTTCATTGAACACAATATCAATTCAGTAATAATATGAAATTTATTTATTTATTATTATTTTATTTCTATTTTTATATATATAATTTATAAGTTTATATATATATATAAAGATATATATATATATATAATTTATAAAGTTATAAAATATAATAAATGTATAAGATCATATGATATTTGCATACAAATTACTTACATGCACTTATATAATTATATATTATCTTAGTCTTATAATTTTTTAGACAATTCATAATTTTCACATTGCTCGAACCCAACGTTTAACCCATAATATTTATTTTTCATTATTATAATTATAAGTTCATTAAATGTTAGAATGTTTGATAATTAAATTATATTTTTCAGAAACTTTAATCCTTATGCAACAAAATTTTTTCATGGCTAAATATGATATTTTTATTTTTATTTATTTAATTCATTTTTTCAACATACATAATGAGTTTATTAGTAACTATTTGATTATTCACATGTATTACATATTTTCATGATTACCAAGTGATATAATTTAAATTATGATACTTGACTAATTTTATTTTCTTCCTTTCGTTTATAAAATAGTATGTAATAAATATTATTTTTTAAAACTTCGATAATTTTTAATGTATATAGATACTTTTAAGATGTATTTTATAATTCTGCATTGTACCTGACCATTATATATATATATATATATATATATATACCTTTTTATTCAATAGAGATTTACCTTTTTATGGTTAAGTTGACTACATTTTAAAAAATTTTAGTATTATTTTAAACTATTCATTAAGTCAGTATGATTCAAACATAGTTATTCTTGTTAATTTATTATATATTTTTAGTATAATCAGTGAATATAATTAATTAAATTAATATCTGCATCATAGATGACAATATATTTAATTAAATAAATTTTCATAATATTATTTTTCATCATGTCGATAAATTACTATAAAATTAATATCAAGATCTTCAAACACAACTAAATTTTACTCAAATTTAACTTAACTCAACTCTACTACTCAATATTAAATAATCATATTCATACATCACATCCGTTTTAATTTATTATTTATTCACTCACATTACTTTAACTCGTCATCACTTTTAATTACATCTTTTACTTTTTACATCAAAATTTAATTATTTTATTTTAAATATTACTTTAATACAGACTCAAAATCTCACTCAAATTTAAGTCAATTAGTTTTTCAAAATAACTCTGATTAACTACAAAAACCAATGAACTCCAACCACATACGGACTTGTATATCAACCGCTGGTGTAGTTGATATGTACAATACGACACCGTTATAATTTCGTCTACCCGCCACAAGAATTGTAAGTTTGGCCATCAGTACTCAACACTCCTGAACCAAAATTGGTTCCCTTTACATCTCCCACTCAATCTTTTATATTTTACATCGATACTAGTATTCAATTAATTTTCAGTTGGAACAATGGCGAAAGCAATAATATCCCCTCCATCCACTGGATCTATTTTTCTCCCATCTTCTGCCCCAAAATCACTATTACACCCTCAATCTTTTACAATTTCACCAAAACCTACCCCTGCCGCTCGTTTCTCTACGCGAAAGCTCCGTGGGACGTCAGTTATGGCGGGGAAATCTGGCACCGCCACCGTCGTGGCCGATGCTCTCGGTGAAGTTGGCATTTTCACCGCCGCCGGCGAGTATGTCAAGTTCAAAGATCTCTGGGATCAAAAGGAGGTGATTAATTGGTTAATTATGTACTGAGTTTTTCGTAGAATTCGTAAATTTTAGCTTTGAAAGGTTGCTCCTCGGTTTAAAGGACCATTACATAGTGTTTACCTTTCTGTTTGAACTTGGAACTCATATTTACAATCCTATGTAATTTGCATATCGGCCTCGTGCATATGAGGTTTTAACTTGATTACCGCACATTTTCATGTCCCAGAACTCATGCGTTCAACTAATCTGAGGTTTTCACTTGAAATTTCTCAATTATTGATATATCGTCTGTGTGTAGTTAACATGAGAATTTCACCAGACCTTTATTTCATTTCCAGGGAGTGGCAGTTGTTGCACTTTTGAGACATTTTGGGTGTTTTTGTTGGTAATATACTAACTCATCCATGATATTACTATTTCACACAAACTTTATGGCTCTCATAAATCGTGCTCTTTTCTTTCTGTATTTTAGTTGGGAGTTTGCCTCAGCACTTAAAGAAACAAAGGAGAAATTCGACTCTGCTGGTGTCAAGCTAATAGCGGTTGGTGTTGGGACTCCTGACAAGGCAAAACTTCTTGCCGAAAGGGTAATTAAATTTTTTTCTTCTCTTTTTCCTCACCTAGGAATCTAACTATGTATGGGAACGAATATTTTCTTCATTTCACTCGAGTAGCAAGAAATAGCAGTTATTTTAGCAATAGTGATCATTGAAATAGCATTGTTATTATAGCAATTACTTTGGTATTGAAATTATCATCTTTTGTCGAAATGAAATGAAGTGCTATCTTTGAGTAGATAATGTTAAATTTATTCGGAACTTAACTCAATCCTTACCTATAGTATCATCCTTCAACCTTAAGTCCCTTGGATGCTTAAAAATGCCATACGATAGTGGTTTAATAATACCTAGACTAATTAATATCTAATAATGGTTATTTTGTATCAACAGTTGCCGTTTCCTTTGGATTCCCTCTACTGCGACCCGGACCGTAAGGTAACTTTTACATCCGAATTGTATTCATAACGTCTTATTTTGCAGACCTTAGATAAGTGATAATACCAACTCTTCATTTTTTCAGGCCTATGATGTTCTGGGCTTGTATTACGGACTTGGCCGTACATTTTTCAACCCAGCCAGCGTATGCACTTTTCTCAACCTTTAAAATAATTGGCATGATCTGTTGTAACAAAGGTAAAGTTCTATTTAAATTTTTTGAAGTTTTTTGCTCAACTTTTGACACTATTATTTATAATTACACAGGTCAAAGTGTTTTCACGGTTTGAGGACCTGAAAAAGGCCATGAAGAACTACACTATTAGAGCCACCCCAGATGATAGAAGTAGCGTCCTGCAACAGGTTTTGATTTTTTTTTTTTTGAAATTGTTTATAGTTGCCAAACATATTGAAAGTAATATTGGTTCTTGACTTTATTAGGGAGGGATGTTTGTGTTTAAAGGAAAGCAATTATTATATGCAAGAAAAGACGAAGGAACGGGTGACCATGCACCGTTGGATGATATCCTCAATATCTGCTGCAAAGTTCCTACTGCATGAGAACTTCTTATGTCCATTCATTGTTAGTCGGTCACATTTATCGATTATTTCGTTGGTCGATATATAATAATTGAGGGAGGGGTTTTAGTTACTGTAAACTACTAAACAAAAGTTGAGATACCAAAATGATCCTGTAAAATTGGATCTTAACTGCAAATTGCAAACTTTTAGTTGGTGTACACATATATCTGTGTTGTATTTGTATACAAATAATGTACAATTGTATACTTCCCATTAGGGCTAGTTTCTGTTCGTAAAACAACAAAACCGATCTGACTTATAGTCAGCTTAGTGAAAAGCCAGTAACCTAAATCTCGGATACTTTATTATATTCAGTTCAGCATAATTTAATCATTGCAGAACTTAATATAAGGAAAGAGAGGAAGAAAAGCAAGTAAGCAACCCCTGCCCAATTATGTAAAAGGGAATCAATTATCACTTTTGTTTGCTTCAAAAGCATTATGCTGCTAAATGACCAAACCAAGGCCAAAAGTCTTAAAATTTAAGCCAACATATGTAGCTGTACTAATCCAAGCACCAAACAATTTTGATGTTTCATTAAAACTGCTAAACATAAAAAAAAATATTTTCCAGTCATCACTGTTACTTGGATACATATATATCATCCTGGTATGAAGTTCTGAGTGCTAGTGAAAATGAATAATTGAAACCCAGTATGGCTCAGATAAAAAATTTTCAATTCATATGTCGTGTGCTTGAGGGTTGTTCGATTGCAAGAAACATAACAGTTAATCCAACGTTATGGGAAACACATCAGGGATAGTAGCTACACTATGTAACATATAATTTTTTGACCTGTTTTAATGATCCTTTTGCAAAAGATCACTGGTTTGTTTATCTTGATTTTCACGTTTGCAGACGAACAGAAAGCCTTGGAAAAAGATCATGAGATCAGTTCACCACGTGATCTGCAAGAACAAAACAAGATAGCAAGTGAAGAAGATGAGAGAAGTGATGGTCAAGAAAAAGCAGATTCAGAATCTGAAGCTAATAGAAGTCCTCTTTTCGGTAATCCAGCATTTGGTGGTGAAAAAGGTCAGTAAATTCAAGTTTTGCATAATTACCTTCACTCACATGCATTGTTGTCTATCAATAGCCAAGATCTTTTTAAAGGACTGTTTAAAATTTTCCAATGCTAGAATTTTATTCTTCTCATTAAACTTGAAAAAAAAAAAAAAAAATAATAAACAGATGTTCTAAACCTCAACACGGGATCTGCTGAGACAGGACTCAAATGTGAAGCCGAAATCCACATCTGCTGCAGGCAGTTTGAACTCTTCACCTCATAAATCTACCGACATTATAACATCCAAACCTCAAGAAGATCAGAAAAATACGTCAACAGAAAAGATTGCAAAAACTTTGGAAGTTGGCAACAATTTCGAAAAACATGAACAAGAAAATAACTCTGTCAAGGTGGAAGATAATGTCTTTGTTAAAGGAGAATTATCAGCAACACTCACGCATGAAGATAGTATTGGCTTGGCTTGCGGTACCAACAGCATTGATAATAGTACCACAAAGGAAACTAGAGATGTGGACAGCAATTTGAAAGACGAAAAAGCAAATTAACGAGTGCATGGCTTTTGAGAAATTGAGAATAATTAAAAACCGCAAGAGGCGTGAAGTTGAAACCAATTCACTTCCATGTTTGGAGAACAATGACATTCTGTACAAGGTCACAAAAAAAGACGAAAGTGCCCTTGAGTCGATCCCACGTGACGTATTACTCCAAAACAATGACTCCAACACAACCGCTCAAAATCAAGAAGAAGACAACAAGTCAACGGATAAAGGAAGTTTACTCTTAAACTAAACGAGTGATATTTTGGAGAAATGCGAAAACAATGCCGAGGGTGAACAGCCAGTATTAGTAGAAGATGGAGAGTCTGAGGGCCAAAGAAGAGTAAATATACTCGATAAGCTGCCGAGTTTTGATTCTGGGCTCCAATTTGATGCAAGGTTTGGCGAATCGGATAAAAATAAGCTTACCAAATGCCCATTGATGAAAACAAAATAAAAATAAAGAATTACAATCATGGAAATGACCAAATAAGCTAGATAACAATATTTAATGCAATTATTCTTAAATAATCCTACTTTTCATGAATGAGTTATGCAATTAGAGGACAATATATGTTAACATACAATTAATGAAACAAAGAGGAGCAACACTGGAATTTATGAGATTAAAAAAAAGAAAAAAGAAAAACAAAAGAGAGAGAGAATATCAAAGGCTGTAACTAATAATGCTATCCAATGATACTCATCATCTTCACAAATTTGTCTCATCAGTCACCGTAGATATATGATTGTTTTAAATTTTCAACCATTGTTAGTCTTGAGAGTTTATGTGTGGGCATAACAAAATTCAAATACACAAGTGAATCTTTTTTAATCCATCACATTACTCCCTTGATTAGAGTAATTAAGATAGAAAAGCTAGTTAATTTCCTCAAAATCAATTGTGTCATAGGGATATAAATTAAGTTACCCAAAAAACACACTATATCTTTTTAAATTGCAAATAGTACTCTTTGAAATTTGTACTTTTAGTATAAGGTACAAACTACTAACAAATGTCAGAAGATTTATTTATTTTTTCTAAAGTTAAACCTTAGGGTAAGTATTGCAATTCACCTCATTTGCTGATATGTAACCATTTTGATCCTTGTCAAAAACTTTGAAATCCTCTTTAAGCTCTTCCTCTGCATCAGTTTCATAAACAAAGTAACATTCGACTTTTATCCATCACATATCCTCCATATATGATATTTAAAGAAACAAACCTAAACAGAACAATCTCAATATAATTCAAGTGCGAATAAAATACATGATATATAAATGATGGGTTTATTGCACCAAATTCCCCTGTATTATATGAAATCTGCGCGTTTTATCCTGGTATTTCAAAAATTACGTCAAACCCCCTAGTATTAACTAATTGTTGCACGATTCCCCCCTCTCCGTCCAACTTGACTGCGCGTGTAGTACACATTTCTGTAATGCGAAAATTATTAAATGTCGAACTTGGGCCAAAAGGCCAATAGACAAGGCTTCACACCACTCTACCACCATCATTATATGGTACAAATCTAACACACATTTATTTAAAACTGTAGAACACAAGAAAACTTAATCAAACAAAAAATAAAAAATAAAACAATCACAAAATAAAGTAATAATAGAAAATATAATTAAAATAAAATATAGTAAAAATTAAATATGAAAATTAAATAATCAATATATTACTATTTAATATAAAAATAAAATTATAATTTCATTTAAATAAATAAAAAAATATAAATATAAAATGAATTTTAAATATATGTTTTTATGAATTGAAGTAATATAATACATATAAATAAAATTAAACTAAGTTAACTTAAGTTAAATTAAATTTATTTATAATAAAATAAAATGATAATTCTATATATAATATATTATTAAGTGGTAATTTGTAAATAAAATACTTTGTATTCAATAACTATATATGATTTGTATATATTTCTTTTATTTAGTTTTTATAATATTTTATCTTTTTTTAAATGTTCGATAAATATATAAATTTTAATTTTTTTCAATAAAATTCATCTTTTTAAATTTGTAATAAATAATTTAAGTAATTATTATTTGTTCAGTTTACTTATTTTAAATTTTTGTAAATGTATAATAAATAAAAATAAAATTAGAATTAACAAAGGTAATTAAAATATAAAGTATCCTCTGTTATGAGCTTCAAATAATATAAATAAGTTTTGATTATTTTAATTATTTGAAATATGAATAAATATAAATATTTATAAAAATTTTAATCTTATTCATAATTTCGAACCTATTTATTTAGTTATTGTATTATTTATAATTTTGAATATATTTACTTAATTACTATATCATTTATATTTTAAAATAAAGTTTATTAAATTAATATAAATATTTATAAGTTAGAATATAATTACTTAAATATACATAATTTAATGATATTATAAATTAAAAGTAATATAATAATTCAATATTTATATTTTATAATAATTGAGTAAATAGATTCTAATATATTATTTATAATTAAGAATCTATTTATTCAATTATTATAATATATATATATATATATATATATTGAATTATTATATTACTTATAATTTATATCTATCACTATATTATTTATTTTTTAGAATATTTTTTATTAATTTTTATATTATATATAATTTAGAATTTGTTTATTAAATTATTATATTATTTTAAAATTTATAATCTATTTTTTTATTATTATATCATTTATAATTTAGAATATTTATAATTTAAAATAAATTTATTTAATTATTATATATTAGTAATTTAGAATATATTTATTCAATTATTATATTATTTTATTTTATAATATATTTATTTAATTATTAAATATTAGTAATTTATAATCGAATTACATAATTATTATATTAGTTATAAGTTAGAAAATATTTCTTAACTATTACATTATTTATAATCAATTATATATATATACTTAATCAATATATTATTAATAACTTAGATCAATATATTTAATTAGTACATTATTTATAATTAATTGTTATTATATATTTTCTATACGTTAAGATATATATAAATAGAATCACATTTATAATTACATGTGGAGCAACCCAATTGGTGGGAGATGCCTTTTTCAACCCAAAGGTACAGGTTCAATCCCCACCTTTGAGGTTTTAATTTTAAGTTTACATATTGACAGTAGGATATAATCGTAAATTCATTGATAAAGCAAGAGTATAATGATAAATTAAACAAAAACCGTTGATATTAAAGTAACGGTGTTAACATAAAGGGGCGAGTCTACATGTAAACATTAAATACAAGGGGGTTTGACGCAATTTTTGAAATATCAGGGTAAAACGCACAGATTTCATATAATACAGGGGGATTTGGTGCAATAAACCCTATAAATATTACTTCAAAATGTTGTATTTCATCAGAACTTATATTTAAAAACAATTAGACAATTGTAAGTATTAAAACTATAATTAAAAGTGATGAAATGGAGTTTTGGTTTACTTCAATTCATGCAATACATGAAAATTGAAATAAAAAATAATACATGAGAAAAAATAACTATATCATAACTGAATTGCATTAATATTAAATGCTATGCATTAGTGATATTATTATTACCGATTGATAAATCTTGTGCAATAGATGAGTGTTAAACTAATATGACAAAAAAATATCATATTACACACTGTGTGTAACACATGTCATTTTAAATAAACTTAATAATGATATTCTATATAATACTTCATCACTTTTTAAATATTATATATATATAATTCATAATTGTNACTCAGAAAGAAAGTTTTCGTATAATCAACAGATTACATGAACACAACTTATAATGAAAACATACTTAGACGTACCAAGGGGGGAGTCAACACAAACATTACTCCCCCTCCACAGCCTGACAAGCTAAAGAATTACAAGAGTTACATAAACCTGAATTCATAGAGAAGTACACAAAGAAAATTGCTCCATTAGCATGTAGATGTCTTCAGCCACCACATTACTTGCATCTTCAAATGTGCCTTTCCTATTGAGAGTGGATATAATCAATTTCGATTCAACACAACAGGTTACCTTGCTCTATTTCAGCTCCACAACCTTGCCTAAGATCCACCTAACTGCAGCCAATGCATTCTCCACTGTAGTGGCAAAGGTCTCCCGAGAGATGCACCAAGCGCCTTGATGGGAACCATCTAGCTCAGCAATACCCCCTAAAACCAGTAAGCCATCTCCTGAAGAATAAGCACTGACAACTAACATATACTTTCATACTTCAACTTCAGCAAATTGATTGTGTGTTTGGTTCTGTACTATTCTTATCATTCTACCACCTTTTAGCAATCACTCCCAGGTTGTCAAATACCTTCCACTCATCTATTGCTTTATTAGCCACCTCCACTTCTGACACCCATTCCTTTCTAAACACCCAGTTGTTTATGGTTTTCCAAAGCCACCACATAAGGTATGAAGAGAGGCAGACCCTATCTTCAAAGCATCTGTTTTTATCCACCAGCCACACTAGTCCACCAGCATTTGAAAGTTCCTCCCTCCTCATCCAGTTTCTGCCAAGAAAGTCCAGCATGTTTCCAACTTCTTCTAGCTATGAGGCATTTGAAAAGAACATGGTCCTGATCTTCAACCTTCTCACCATAAATATCACAAATAGCATCCATGTGGAGACTCTAGTATTCAGATTATTCTTAATACCTAAGCAATTATTCCAGCACCTCCACAAAAAGTTCTTGACTTTGTTTTTTATAGGTAGATTCCAGGTGCACATTATTGACTGACGAGTTGCACCTTTGTGTTAGTGAAATTGCACCTTAACATAATAAATGCACGATCATGTTAATTAGATTAATAATATAAAACACTAAATACAAAAACTATAAATACTAAATATATTTTTACGATATAAAAAAATTGATAAATGTAAAAAATAATGATAATTGAAACACACATTATTGAAGTTAATGAATTTGAAACACATAAAAAATACTCGATCTGTCGATTGCACAATAATG